TTAGCCAATCACAAAAAAACAAATGCTGAATGTTTTCTCTGATTTAACAATGTTGATTCATAATGTGGTGGTGGGAGGGGGCATAGGAGGATTAGATGAAAGGGAAGGGAGGGGAGCATGGAGGGTAGAAAAGACAGTGGAATGAGATGAATATCATTACCTTAAGTACATGTATGAAGACACGAATGGTGTGACTCTATTTTATGTACAACCAGAGATATAAAAAATTGTGCTCTATATGTGTAATATGAATTGTAAAGCATTCTATCATATATWACAAAATTTTAAAAAGAAAAAGAAAAAACAGCCTCACTGTCCATTCTGTTTTCCAACTTTAAAAATTAACTTTTAGCAGRTACATAAAAACATAAAAATTAGACATATTACCAAGGTAATATGTAATGTTTCAATGTGTGTATACATTATATGTTTAAATCAGATTAAACATATCTCCTAAAACATGTATTAAGTTTAATGGAAAAAACTTTCAAAATCGTGGCAGCTTTTTGAAATGCATATTAACTATAGTCTACTATAATAGAACACCAAAATCTCCTGTTCCTAACTGAAACTTAAATCCACTGATGATACCCTCCCCATTCCTCCCTACTTTCTAATCTCCCTGCGTCTGGTAACTGCTATTATATTCTCGACTTCTATGAGATCAACATTTTTAGATTTCACATATGACTGAGATCATACAGTACTTATTAAGTACCTGGCTTACTCCAATTTATATAGTAATCTATAATTCTATCCATGTTGTCACAAATGATAGCATTTCATCCTTTTTGTGGCTAAATAATAATCCATTGAGCATAGACACCACACTTCCTTCATTTGTCAGTTGATGGATACTAAGGTTGTCTCCATCTCTTGGCTATGTTGAAAAATGCTCTAATGAAAACGGGAATGTGCCAGGTACAGTGGCGCAGGCCTATAACCTCAGCAGCTCAGGAGAATGAGGCAGAAGTTCAAAGTCATCCTCAGCATCTTAGTGAGGACCTAAGCAATTCAGTGAGACTCTTGTCTCTAAAATTTTATATAAAAAAGAACTAGGGATGTGGTTCAGTAGTTAAGTGGCCCTGGATTCAATCTCAAGAACAGAGAGAGAAAGAGAAAGAGAAAGAGGGGGGGGGGAGGGAGGGAGGGAGGGAGGGAGAAAGGGAATGTGGATGTCTCTTTAACATACTAACTTTACTTCTTCTGGATACATACACAGTGGTGGGATTGCTAGTAGTTCTATTTTTAACTTTTTGAGTAATCTCCATATTGTTTGGCTATAGAAATTTATACTCCCACCTACATTCTTGCCATCACTTGTTATCTTGGTCTTATTGATAACAGCCTTGATTTGTATATCTGTGCTGATTAGTGATACTGAGCATTTTTTTCAAATAGCTCTGGCTATCTGTTATGACTTCTTTTGAGAAATGTCTATTTTTTAAATCAGAGTATTGGTATCTTCTCTATATTAACACTCTTTTCTATATATAAAAACTTTTTGTTCCAATATCACTACCTTATTCTAAACATTCTAAGATATTCTCTTAACCTGAGGCAATAAAATAAAGAAAACATCGACTTCATTACATAGCACTAATGTTGAAGACTTCATGAATATCAATTAATGCATGTATCTGGTACAGTAGACATTACTAGTGCTCACCTAGTGTTTCTAATTCTACTGTCATTCTGGACACATAATAAGATCATATTTTCTTGCCCCTCTTGATGGAACACAAGACCAAAGACTATACCATTGCTCCGGCCAATGAAATACAAAGAAAAGTAATATACCACTTCCACAGGGAAGCACTTAAAATTGGAATCTAATTCTTCATGCTATCTTGCCCTACTTTATCAAAGAAGTACAACTTGATAAGAAATTGCCACAAGATTGAAGTAGCTCCAGGAGGTTGTGCTAACACATGAAAAGCTGCCCAGAGTTTTGGCTAGCTATATCATAAAAAACAGCATGAAAAGATCATACTCTAATTCTATTATTCCACCACTGTCATTTATATTATTATTCCACATGTGGTACTAATTTTAGTATCACAATATACACTCACCTATTCTGATTCTAATTTCCTCAACTTGTATAATAAAAACTTGTTTTTGAGGAGAATTTCTAGGAGTGGGGATAGTAGAAGGCCATAAATGAAACATTCTGCAAAGTTATCTACAAACAACTATGCAGTTCAAACCCTGATTCTTTTTCTACTTATATTATTATTTTGACTTTTTTTCACATATTTCTATTCCATCTTTAGTCTTCGATATCTCCTTACATCATGTGCCTTTCTGAAAGAAATTTAAATTTTGTAATTTTAATATTCTTCAACTATATTGGTGCTACTGAAGAATTTCATATCACTTTGTCCTTACAACTGCAAAAGCATAAAGGATATTACAAATTGATCATATTTCTCTAATAACCAGCAAATAGCAAAAATACATTTCTCATTTTTAAAAAAATCTGACATTTGCCTATAATAAAGCTAACTACTACTAAGTCCTTACCAGTGTGACTTTGGGCAAATTATAGAACTTTGGAACCTCAGCACTAAAAATGTAATAAGTAACAATAATTGAAACTCAGAAGATGGACAATAACTTAGACTGCTCAAGTAGTCATACATAAAGGATTATTCAGGAGCTATTAAAAATGTATAAAAATCCATTAAGTGGGAAGGTTAGCTTGTGAACACTCAATGTAGACAAGAACAGAGGTGAGTGGCAAGATTTAAAAGTTTCACAATGCCAAGTCTGTGTAACTTTGAAGAAAATGCCCAGGTACAATGATCACTTACAAAGATATGATAAGAAAGGCAGACAAACAGACTGGATGGGTGGGTTATGCTAAATGAACTCCAAGCACCCAAGCTGAGAATCTTGCCTTTTCTTGATAAAATCTGAATTCTACAATCTTTATYACTGTTCTTCTTACTTAGAAATTATTTTAACGCCACTTTTCCCTATCCTATCATGCTCTACTAATCACTATGAGCTAACTAGTGATATAAAACCCATTGGAGCGGAAATAATTACATTACATATCCATATCAAAACCACAAATATTAAGAAAAAGTTGCACATCAACAATAATTACATAAATATCTAAATCACATAAAATATTASTTGTTTGTGCACAGGCAAATAGGTATAAAACCATAAACTGGATGGATATATAATACAATTTCAGAATACAGGTGTTTCTAAAGAGGAAAGTAATGAGAAATCAACTTTATCTGTAATGTTCTCTTTATTACAAAGTAACACTGAAGCAAAAATGACAAAAATAATAATATTCCATACATTAAGTTCATGGATCCTTGTCCTATACTTATTGTGAAATACCTTTAAAATTAGAAGAAAAACTAACATTGCAAAAGGGCAGTGAATTGGACATGTTCATCATAAAACAAAATTTTGAGGTGGGGATGAAGGGTACTGGGAATTGAACTCAGGGGCACTCAAACAACTGAGCCACATCCCCAGCCCTACTTTGTATTTGATTTAGAGACAGGGTCTCACTGAATTGCCCAGCACTTCACCATTGCTGAGGCTGGCTATGTACTTGTGATCCTCCTGCCTTACCCTCCAAGCTGCTGGGATTACAGCTGTATGCTACTGCACCCAGCACAAAACAAATTTATAGTATTTAAAWTTTTTCACAATAGGCCACAAAAATGATTTGACCTTTCCATTCATCTTCTAAGCCAAATATGACTATCACTGTTCTTCAGTAAAACTACCTGAAATAATAATAGGGAGACTAGTTCTACTGTCCATTCCACAATTATATATTTATAAAATAACACATGCATTTAGGAAAGTTTAAAGTGGGTAGTAAATTATAATTTAAAGCTTTCTCCTTAATCTTATTTATTTTGTTGTTGTTGTTGTTGTATTGTTGCTGTTGTTAAGATGCTGGATGTCATTAGCTATCCAACAGTAGACAAATCATTTAACTTTCATTCTGAATGTAACCATATTTAAAATGAGATTATTATCTTCCCTACATCACAAGATTATTATAGGCTAAATGAGAATGTGTATAGCAAAGCTACTTAATAAATTACAAAATGCCACCCAGATACAAATTATTATTTATTTTTTAAAAATACAGTGTTACAATTTGGATCTGAAATGTTCTCCAAAAGCTCATGTGCKCCAAGCTTGGTTCCCCAATGCAGCAGTGTTCACAGGTGGGGCCTGTGGACATGAATAGATTAAAAAGACTCTAACCTCATCAATAAATTAATACATTGATGAATTCACAGTTTTTTAATAGGCTATTGGGAGGTGGCAGAAACTTTAGGAGATGGGGACTAGCTGAATAAAGTAGGTTATTGGGGGCATGCTCTTGGAGGGTTATAGTTTGTCCCCACTCCTTCTTCTGACTGCTTCCTGGCCACCATGAGCTGAGCAGCTTTGCTCCACTGCATACTGCCTACCATGATGCTCTGCCTCAATAAAGACCTAAAAGCAATGGAGTCAAACAACCATAAACTGAAACCTCTCAAACCATGAGCTAAAATAAATCTTTCCTCCTTTAAGTTGATTTTCTCAGGTATTTTGTCACAGTGAAATAAAGCTGACTAACACAGGTATACACAAACCTACAAACATATAGAAGCACATAAACAACATATATACAGTGTTATTATCCAGCAGGTCACTAAAGGAATAATAAAATCCATTATAGAAGTATCTAAACCTGGAGCTGGGGTTGTGGTTCAGTGGTAGAGCACTTGCTTAACACGTGCAAGACCCTGAGTTTGATCCTCAGCACCACATAAAAATACATAAATAAAGTAAAGGTTAAAAAAAAAAAAAAAAAAAAAAAAAGAAGTATCTAAACCTCTATTTTCTTAAATTCCACAGTAAAAATTGATTGAAAACATTTTCATTTTAGGTATTATTTTAAGTATTTAACATTGAAAATAAAATTCTATGAAGCAACAGCTTGAAATTTAACTGAAAATACTTACCTTAACAAAATTATCAGGAAACATTCCTCTTCTCCCATTTAGTTCTCCTTCTAGCCATCCTTCCTCCTGTAGTTTTTTCACATTTCTGATGATTTCCCCAACTCGAATAGTTAATTCATCATCATGCACAGCATCATAATCATACTCCACAATATAGTCAACTAAAAAAAGGGGAGGGAAAAAAAGAAATGTCTAAAATCTAATTCACAAAATACTATAAATAATATTAAAAAATTAAAACTACTTAAGTCTGATTACCAATACTGGTTAACACAACATAAACATCATCATCACCTGTCTTAATGATTTCCATATCTGACTATATCAACAAATTTATTATCTTAGTACAGAACACATACAGCTTTTAAGTGAGAGCCTCAAAAGAAATAAAACATGTAACTCATTCCATTACATTCTTAAAATCAGATGTATACTCTTTGTGGCAGAGAGACTCTGCAGTGGTCCCCCGGTTACCACCCCCATCCCATATTCACATCATTTTTGTAATTCCTTCTCCTTGAGTGGGAATGTGACCTGTGACTGACTTGTATCCAATAGAATATGACAAAAATGACTGACTACATGTGATTAAGAAAAATTGTAATGCCCATCTTGTTAGGGGTCTCTTTCCCTTCTAGCTTTGAAAATATACACTGCTACAGTTTGTAAACTGGCCTATGGAGAAGGCCACAAGCAAGTAATGAGGGGAAGCCTCTGGTTGAGTCCCTCAGTCCAACAATGAACAGTAACTGAGGAAGTCAGCAATCACATGAACTTAGAAACAGATCTTTCCCCACTAGAGCCCCAGATGAGAAGCCAACCCTAATCAATACCTTCTGTGCAGATTTATAAAAGGTCCAACTAACCAAGCCCATACTCAAAAACCACAGAAACAATAAATATATATTGTTCTGAACTATTAAATTTGTACTGATACCATTATAGAAAAAAGAAAACGAAAATACTCTACAACAAAGATTAATAAGTTATCTATTTTTCATTCTTTAAGAATGAGATTTGGGATTATAACACATCATATACATATACCATTAATATTTTATACAGCTCAATGTTTTCTAAAAGGGGAATAACAGATTTTCCATTCCAGATGGCAGATTAGCCATACTCCATTAATATTTTTTCCTACAAAAATAATAAGAAGGCATTATTAGGTGATTTTGTCATTGTGGGAACATCAAAAAGTTCTTCAAGAAAAAGCATTG